CTCTGTTATGATGGGTTTGTAAATCTTTGATTATTTTTCCCTTCTAGTGCTGGGTTGTATGTAGTTACTAGAGGTACACGGTTGTTTGTTTTTTTCTCTTTGTACTGAAGCAGATTTTTCCCTTCGGGTTCTCAAGGCTGTGTTTATGCCGGTGTTGATAGTTTTGTCCTTGTAACCTTTCTTATGGAAGGCGTCTGCTAGTGTCCCAAGATGTGTATCTCTGTCTCTTGGGTCAGAACATACTCGGTGGTATCTGATGGCCTGACTGTGTATGACGGCACGTTTCGTGTGTTGGGGGTGGAAGCTGGAACTGTGGAGGTAGTTGCATCTGTCGGTGGGTTTCCTGTATATTGAGGTGTGAAGCGTATCATCCCTGATGTATACTGTGGTGTCTAGGAAGTTGACCTGTGTGTTTGAGTATTCCATTTTTAGTTTGATTGATGGATGAAAAGTGTTCATCAATGAGTAAAATTGTTTTTAGATTTTCTTCACCTTCCGTCCATATGATGAAAATATCATCAATATAGCGAAAGTATCTGGATGGTTTTTGTTCCATGCTGTTCAGGAATTGTTCCTCCAGGTCAGCCATAAATAAATTTGCATATTGGGGGCCATTTCACTTCCCATCACAGTGCCCATACATTGAAGAAGATAGATGTCCTTATTGAAAGCAAAGTAGTTGTGTGTAAGTATGAATTCAATGAGCCGTGTAACATCCTCAGCCGTGTATTTGTTGTTTGGTGAGGATGATAAGGATCTGTGACATGCAGCTAATCCATCCTTGTGAGGGATATTACTATACAGGGATACTACATCCATAGATTACTATACAGGGATACTACATCCATAGATTACTATACAGGGATACTACATCCATAGATTACTATACAGGGATACTACATCCATAGATTACTATACAGGGATACTACATCCATAGATTACTATACAGGGATACTACATCCATATATACTATATACAGGGATACTACATCCATATATTACTATACAGGGATACTACATCCATAGATTACTATACAGGGATACTACATCCATAGATTACTATACAGGGATACCACATCCATATATTACTATACAGGGATACTACATCCATAGATTACTATACAGGGATACCACATCCATATATTACTATACAGGGATACTACATCCATATATTACTATACAGGGATAATACATCCATATATTACTATACAGGGATACTACATCCATATATTACTATACAGGGATACTACATCCATAGTCACTAGAAGTGTATTAGATGGTAATTGCTGGATGTTGTTGATCTTGTTCAGAAAGAAAGTCAGTTGTGTCTTGCAGGAAACTAGCAGTATTCATGACTAACGGTTTTAAAAATTTTTCTACAAAGCCTGAGATTTGTTTCGGTGAGTGTATTCATACCTGTTATGATGGGTCTGCCTGGATTTCCTGGCTTGTGGACTTTGGGCAGCATGTAGAAGTCCCCGATTTCTGGATGATCCGGAATCGCATTTATAAGTTCTGAATGTAGGTGGGCTGGAAGTGTTTTAATGAGACCTTTTAATTGCTTTGTAAAGTTCTGGGTTGGATCATGATCCAGTTTTTTATAGTAGATGGCATTTTCCAGCTGCCTCTGGCCTTCTTGTATGTATTTGTTTGTATCCATCACAACTGCTCCCCCTTTTGTCCGCTGGTTTGATGGTGATGGCCTGATTGTTGCGCAAATTGTGTATAGCCCTTCGCTCTAGTGGTGAAAGATTGTACAGAATTTTCTTTTGCTGGGTGGGATATCAGGGATGTGGCTCGCAATCTGAAGCTATCAATATAGGTGTCCAGTTTGGGGTTGGGTCCTTGTGGAGGTGTGAAGCAGCTGTTCTTTTTCTTTGTGTAGCACTCCATTGTCCTAGGATTCCTTTCATTATTGTGGAAATATTCTTTGAGCCTTAGTCTCCTGAAGAAATCCTCCATATCTGACAATACTTGTAAATGATCCAATTTGGTGGTTGGGCAGAATGTAAGGCCTTTGGAGAGGATAGTTAATTCTGGTTCAGAAAGTTTATGATTTGACAAGTTGATGATTCCAAGTTCCTCTGTAATATCCACATTTTCAGTCGGGTCAGCATTTACACAAGGGATACCTTGGGATTCCCGATTAGATTCCAGGTCACTGATGGTAAGAGGTATAGATGTTGGGTTGCTTTTATGTTTAGCTTGTATCCAAAAGGTCTGCAAATTTATTTATGGCTGACATGGAGGAACAATTCCTGAACAGCATGGAACAAAAACCATACAGATACTTTCGCTATATTGATGATATTTTCATCATATGGACGGAAGGTGAAGAAAATCTAAAACCATTTTACTCATTGATGAACACTTTTCATCCATCAATCAAACTAAAAATGGAATACTCAAACACACAGGTCAACTTCCTAGACACCACAGTATACATCAGGGATGATACGCTTCACACCTCAATATACAGGAAACCCACCGACAGATGCCACTACCTCCACAGTTCCAGCTTCCACCCCCAACACACGAAACGTGCCATCATACACAGTCAGGCCATCAGATACCACCGAGTATGTTCTGACCCAAGAGACAGAGATAAACATCTTGGGACACTAGCAGACGCCTTCCATAAGAAAGGTTACAAGGACAAAACTATCAACACCGGCATAAACACAGCCTTGAGAACCCGAAGGGAAAATCTGCTTCAGTACAAAGAGAAAAAAAAACAAACAACCGTGTACCTCTAGTAACCACATACAACCCCGGCACTAGAAGGGAGAAGAATAATAATCAAAGATTTACAATCCATCATAACAGAGGATGGAACTCTGAAAGAAATATTCCAGCAACCCCCAATACTGGCTTTCAGACAACCCCCCAACCTCAGAAATAAACTAATCAGTAGGAAACTTCCTTCTGATGTCACAAATAATGGAAGCAAACCCTGCAATAAGAAACGCTGCAAGCTGTGCAAACCAAATCAGTCCATCATCAAAAGTGTCCGACACTCAAAAGGGATCTTCAATATCTCCGGATCATACAGCTGCACCTCCAGTAATGTTGTGTACCTCATCCAGTGCAGAAAATGCAGCAAAGGATCCTATGTTGGTGAAACAGGACAGAAGGTGCAAACAAGGATGAATTTACACAGACACACCATCAAGGAACATAAAGAAGATGACCTCTGCACACCTGTAGGACACCATTTCTCACAACCAGACACACACTATGGGAGACCTCAATATTTTAGTCCTGAAAGGAAAATTTAAATCCATCCAAGAAAGAAAAAAAACATTTGAACTAAGAATGATAATTCTATTTGACACTAAAGATAACGGTCTTAATTTGGACCTGGGATTCCTCAACCATTATCCCACAGCTTTATGACTATCTATTAGCTAAAACTTGACCCCCTCTGTGTGAGTGTTGTATCCCCCCTCCCCCCCTCACTTTTGATGTATCTTATCTGTAGCCCTTTTTTTTTTTTTTTTTTTTTTTTTTCTCTCAATCCATTCTAACATTCTGCTTAAACTTTGTGATTTTTAATATAGTACTGCTTAGACCTTGAAGAAGGGGACATACCCCGAAAGCTTGTCCTCAAAATTGTATGTTAGTGCAAATAAAAAAAGTATCACGGACAGTACTCAATTGTAATTAGTATCAGAAATTTAAACGAATATGAATTTCCAGCCAATAGGCTGCTTCCAAACCGAGCAATCTTTAAAGTGCTTTTGTGTAAAAAGAAATATATATATTTCTTTGAAAGTAGGTTGTATGTAATATTTCATTAGCATTTTTATCTGTGGGGGGGGGGGGGAACCAGGGAAGGCAAAATATGGCTCCGAGGGCCACAGGTTGCACACCCCTGGACTGAGGCTCACAGGTTGCGCACCCCTTGACTGAGGGCCACAGGTTGAGCACTCCTGGACCGAGGCTCACAGGTTGCGCACCCCTGGACCGAGGGCCACAGGTTGCGCACCCCTGGACCGAGGGCCATAGGTATAGCACTCTTGGACCGAGGGCCATAGGTATAGCACTCTTGGACCGAGGGCCACAGGTTGAGCACCCTTGGACCCAGGTGCACAGGTTGCGCACCCCTAGACCGAGGGCCCCAGGTTGAGCACTCTTGGACCGAGGGCCACAGGTTGAGCACCCCTGCACCGAGGCTCACAGGTTGCTCACCCCTGGACCGAGGGCCACAGGTTGCGCACCCCTGGACCAAGGGCCACAGGTTGCGCACCCCTGGACCGAGGCTCATAGGTTGCGCACCCCTGGACCGAGGCTCACAGGTTGCGCACCCCTGGACCGAGGTTCACAGGTTGCGCACCCCTGGACCGAGGCTCACAGGTTGCGCACCCCTGGACCGAGGCTCACAGGTTGCGCACCCCTGGACCGAGGCTCACAGGTTGCGCACCCCTGGACCGAGGCTCATAGGTTGCGCACCCCTGGACCGAGGCTCACAGGTTGCGCACCCCTGGACCGAGGCTCATAGGTTGCGCACCCCTGCACCGAGGCTTATAGGTTGCGCACCCCTGGACCGAGGCTCACAGGTTGCGCACCCCTTGACCGAGGCTCACAGGTTGCGCACCCCTGGACCGAGGCTCACAGGTTGCGCACCCCTGGACCGAGGCTCACAGGTTGCGCACCCCTGGACCGAGGCTCACAGGTTGGGCACCCCTGGACCGAGGGCCACAGGTTGCGCACCCCTGGACCGAGGCTCATAGGTTGCGCACCCCTGGACCGAGGCTCACAGGTTGCACACCCCTGGACCGAGGCTCACAGGTTGAGCACCCTTGGGCGGGCTGCCAGCAAATTGAATTTGACAGGATGTCTTCTCCCGCCCCCCTGCCAGTTTAACGAGTCACTATTTTGGAATTCTCCTGCGCTGACCGCGTTGTCTTCTCTTCCAGCAGGCGCAGTGACAGTGACATCAGCATGCGGCGCTCCACCAGCTCCCTCTCCTCTGGGATCTCCAGCTCACACAGCGGCAACATGGAGGACGGCGATCCGTCCACGCAACATGCAGCCGTCATCAAGGCGGGATGGCTGGACAAGAACCCGCCGCAGGGGTGAGTGCCCTCCTGCTGACATTATCTCCATGACACTGGCCAACCTGTCATCAGGTATCTTCATGTGCTGAGCAATGTGTTCATGTGACACTCCTGTCAGCAGATCTGTGCGTATATACTAGGTAAGTCAGTGAGACACTCCTGTCAGCAGATCTGTGCGTATATACTAGGTAGGTCAGTGTGACACTCCTGTCAGCAGATCTGTGCGTATATACTAGGTAAGTCAGCGTGGCACTCCGTCCGTCATCAGATCTGTGCGTATATACTAGGTAAGTCAGTGTGACACTCCTGTCATCAGATCGCTGCGTATATACTAGGTAAGTCAGTGTGACACTCCTGTCATCAGATCTGTGCATATATACTAGGTAAGTCAGTGTGACACTCCCGTATCATCAGAGTGTGCACTCCGTATATACTAGGTAAGTCAGTCAGTGTGACACTCCCGTCATCAGATCTGTGCGTATATACTAGGCAAGTCAGTGTGACACTCCCATGTCAGCAGATCTGTGCGTATATACTAGGTAAGTCAGTGTGACACTCCCGTCATCAGATCTGTGCGTATATACTAGGTAAGTCAGTGTGACACTCCTGTCATCAGATCTGTGCGTATATATATACTAGATAAGTCAGTGTGGACACTCCTGTCATCAGATCTGTGCGTATATACTAGGTAAGTAGGTAAGTCAATGTGACACTCCTGTCAGCAGATCGCTGCGTATATACTAGGTAGGTACAGTCATCGCTGCGTGTGGCATTCCTGTCATCAGATCTGTGCGTATATACTAGGTAAGTCAGTGTGACACTCCTGTCAGCAGATCGCTGCGTATATACTAGGTAAGTCAGTGTGACACTCCTGTCATCAGACACTCCCGGGTATTTATTACCTCTTGCAGGTCTCCCCTGACAACAAATGCAATAAAGGGCAAAAATATCATAACTAAAAACAAGGATCAATAACATAAAAAACACTTCGATAAAATTAATAAATTCAGTGTCCATAAATAAATTAATTCAGTTTCTTTTATTAAATAAATAAATTCAGTTTCCACAAATAAATAAATTATTAAAGAGATAATTCAGTGTCCATTAGAAAGTAAATAAATTTCCACCAATAAATAAATACATTCAGTGCCCATAAGTAAATAAATTCAGTTTGTGTCGTTTAAATAAATAACATTCAGTTTCCACAAATAAATAAATTAGTTCAGTGTCCACAAATTAAATAAATTCAGTTTAAAAAAATAAATAAATGAGTTAATTCAGTGTCCATAGAAAGTAAATTAATTTCCATCAATCAATAAATAAATACATTCAGTGTCCATAAATAAATAAATTTAGTTTCTGTTAGTTAAATAAATAAATTCAGTTTTCACAAATAAATAAATTAGTTCTGTGTCCATTAGAAAGTAAATTAATTTCCATCCATAAATAAATAAATACATACATTCAGTGTTCATAAATAAAAAAAATTCAGTTTGTGTTGTTTAAATAAATAAATTCAGTTTCCACAACTAAATAATTGAGTTAATTCAGTGTCCATTAGAAAGTAAATTAATTTACATCAATCAATAAATTAATAAATACAGTGGGGATCGAAAGTTTGGGCACCCCAGCTAAAAATTTGTATTAATGTGCATAAAGAAGCCAAGGAAAGATGTAAAAATCTCCAAAAGGCATCAAATTACAGATTAAACATTCTTATTATAATATGTCAACAAAAGTTAGATTTTATTTCCATCATTTACACTTTCAAAATAACCGAAAACAAAAAAATGTCGTCTGCAAAAGTTTGGGCCCCCTGCAGAATTTATAGCATGCACTGCCCCCTTTGCCAAGCTGAGACCTGCCAGTGTCATGGATTGTTCTAAATCATCATCTGGGAAGACCAGGTGATGTCAATCTCAAAGGTTTTAAATGCCCAGACTCATCTGACCTTGCCCCAACAATCAGCACCATGGGTTCTTCTAAGCAGTTGTCTAGAAAACTGAAACTGAAAATAGTTGACGCTCACAAAGCTGGAGAAGGCTATAAGAAGATAGCAAAGCGTTTTCAGATGTCAATATCCTCTGTTCGGAATGTCATTAAGAAATGGCAGTCATCAGGAACAGTGGAAGTTAAAGCAAGATCTGGAAGACCAAGAAAAATATCAGACGGAACAGCTCGCAGGATTGTGAGAAAAACAATTCAAAACCCACGTTTGACTGCACGATCCCTCCAGAAAGATCTGGCAGACACTGGAGTTGTGGTCACTATTCCACTATAAAGAGATACTTGTACAAATATGGTCTTCATGGAAGAGTCATCAGAAGAAAACCTCTTCTACGTCCTCACCACAAAAATCATCGTTTGAACTTTGCAAATGAACATATAGACAAGCCTGATGCATTTTGGAAACAAGTTCTGTGGACCGATGAGGTTAAAATTGAACTTTTTGGCCGGAATGAGCAAAGGTACGTTTGGAGAAGAAGGGGCACAGAATTTAATGAAAAGAACCTTTGTCCACCTGTGAAGCATGGGGTTGGATCAATCATGCTTTGGGGTTGTGTTGCAGCCAGTGGCACAGGGAACATCTCACGAGTAGAAGGAAAAATGGATTCAATAAAATTTCAGCAAATTTTGGATGGTAACTTGATGCCATCTGTGAAAAAGCTGAAGTTTAAAGAGAGGATGGCTTCTACAAATGGATAATGATCCTAAACACACCTCGAAATCCACGGGGGATTACATCAAGAGGCGTAAACTGAAGGTTTTGCCATGGCCTTCACAATCTCCTGACCTCAACATCATTGAAAATCTATGGATAGACCTTAAAAGAGCCGTGCGTGACAGACAGCCCAGAAATCTCAAAGAACTGGAAGACTTTTGTAAGGAAGAATGGGCAAAGATACCTCAAACAAGAATTGAAAGACTCTTGGCTGGCTACAAAAAGCGTTTACAAGCTGTGATACTTGCCAAAGGGGGCAGTACAAGATATTAACTCTGCAGGGGGCCCAAACTTTTGCAGACGCCATTTTTTTGTTTTCTGTTATTATGAAAGTGTAAATGATGGAAATAAAATCTAACTTTTGTTGACATATTATAAGAATGTCTAATCTGTAATTTGATGCCTTTTGGAGATTTTTCCATCTTTCCTTGGCTTTTTTATGCACATTAATACAAAATTTTTAGCTGGGGTGCCCAAACTTTCGATCCCCACTGTACATTGTGTCCATAAATAAATACATTCAGTTTCTGTTGTTTAAATAAATAAATTCAGTTTCCACAAATAAATAAATGAGTTAATTCAGCGTCCATTAGAAAGTAAATTAATTTCCATCCATAAATAAATAAATACATACATTCAGTGTCCATAAATAAATAAATAAAATACATTCAGTGTGCATAAATAAATATATTCAGTTTCTGTTATTTAAATAAATAAATTCAGGTTCCACAAATAAATAAATGAGTTAATTCAGCGGACATTAGATAGTAAATTAATTTCCATCAATTAATCAATAAATAAATACATACATTCAGTGTCCATAAATAAATAAATAAAATACATTCAGTGTCCATAAATAAATAAATAAATAAATTATAGTTTATTCAGTGTCCATTAGAAAGTAAATTAATTTACATCAATCAATAAATAAATAAATACATTCAGTGTCCATAAATAAATAAATTCCGTTTCTGTTATCTAAATAAATAAATTCAGTTTCCACAAATAAATAAATTATAGTTAATTCAGTGTCCATTAGAAAGTAAATTAATTTGCAACTATAAATAAATAAATACAATACATTCCGTGTCCATAAATAAATAAATTCAGTGTCTATAAATAAATACAATTTCTTTCAGTGTCCATAAATAAATATATAAATTCAGTGTCCATAAATAAATACAATTTCTTTCAGTGTCCATAAATAAATAAATATATAAATTCAGTGTCCATAAATAAATACAATTTCTTTCAGTGTCTATAAATAAATAAATATATAAATTCAGTGCCTATAAATAAATATAATTTATTTCAGTGTCCATAATAAATAGATACATTCAGTGTAATCAAGAAATTGGGATTTATGAATTTTTTTATTAGTGAACACTAAATGCATTTATTAATTATCATTATCAATTTATAATATTATTTATTAATAAACACTGAATTTATTTTTTGATGAGTTGATATTTTTTTATGTTTTTTTCCCCTTGTTATTTATTTAATCCATTTTAGCTATTTATTGCATTTGTTATGAAGTCTCCGTACTTAGACAAGGTGGTAAATATCAGATGATATCTCAGGATCGGAGTTCCTCCTTATTCCTCTGGCGTTCCTCTCCATGGACATCTGCCGGAGGTTTTTCGGATCTCCGCACATCTGCTCGCTGGTCTCCTCCCACATCTACTTTGAGGCAGAGATTCTTCAATGCTCCGGGGACTTCTGTCTGACCACCACACCCAGCATCCTCCTCCGATGGTGAGACGGTGCAGCTGGGGTCCTGTCCTCCAGCCAGGCTTTCCTCCCGATATCTCCTCTGGAGATGGGAATATTCTGAGACGTTGGAAGATCTCTGTATGGAGAAGAGGCCGTGTTTACTGATAGCGGGTGCAAATTAAAAGAACACGGAGCAGAATGTTCGTCTTGTTGTTCGTCCTATGGCAGGGACACTCACACTTAGTCAAGACCAGAGCATGACGGGGTGACTGGCAACTTTTGGCCCAGGGGGGCAAGTGCAACCCAGAGGCCCATGGTGCTCTCCTCCCAACTCCTGTCCCAGGCTGAAGCCCTGCTCAGGGTGCTCATGGGCTGGACCACGCCTGCTGCACCGACTCTGGGTTCCTGAACTTGCCGTCAGGGTTGGCAGGGAGGAGCCAAAGCGGCTCGGTCTGGGCTGACCAGGGGAGGAGAGCCTCCAGTGGGTCAAGGAGACAATCTCTTCTCAGACATGGCCTACACCATCCATGCTTCAGCCGGTGCTCTATCCTAGGCTGAAGCTCTGCTCCAGGTACTCTCTACTCATAAGCTGGACAGCGCCTGCCGGGTCGACTCTGGGTTCCAGAACTTGCCGTCAGGACTGGCAGGGGGGAGCCGAGGGAGCTCGGTCTGGGCTGGCCAGGAGGAGAGTCTCCAGTGGGGCACGGAGCCGATCTTTTCTCGGACATGGCCTACACAATCCATGCTTTCACCATCCCGCACTCAGTAGGACACCGGCGGGGACTTTTTACTCCTCTTCACCAGGAAGCAGTATGGCCTTTTTATGGGGCATCAGAGTGGCCCGGGGATGGGGGGGGGCAGTTGTCCACTCCTGGACCATGACCACTACCAGAAATGCACTCAGTTCCTAATTTCCTGCTCTCCACCCAACTCCTGTCCCAGGTGGAAGCCCTGCTCCAGGTATTGTCTACGCATGCACTGGACAGTGCCTGCCGCACCGACTCTGGGTTCCTGAACTTGCCGTCAGGCTTGACGGGGGGAGCCAAAGCGGCTCGGTCTGGGCTAACCAGGGGAGGAGAGCCTCCAGTGTGGCACGGAGCCGATCTCTTCTCAGACATGGCCTACACCATCCATGCTTCAGCCTCTGCTCTGTCCTCATCCCGCACTCGGTAGGACACCGGAGGGGTCTTTTTACTACTCTTCACCAGGAAGCAGTATGGCCTTTTTATGGGGCATCAGAGTGGACCGGGGAGGGGGGGAGGGGGCAACTGTCCGCTCCTGGACCATGACCACTACCAGAAATGCATTCAGCTCCTAATCTTCTGTACAGGAAGCTCTCCTACTGGGCTACAGATCAATGCCCATCCTCGCCTCTCTCCGTCCCCATGCATACCTTAATAACATTCCCATCACATGAATGCTCCTGACCTGAACCTGGACTGACTACATGGTGCTTTTTCTGGCCTGAAATCACAAGAAATGGTGTCAGCCCTGCCTGGTTGTTTCTTGGTAAACTGCTAAATGCCTCACCACCACCATTCCTGATCTCCACAACATAGGAGGTGAGAACTGAGAAGACCTTGTCCCGGCACCGGCCATAACGGACCACAAAATGTTGAAGGGGGCTGGATTACATGACAGCAGATGGTTCTTGTTCATGGCTATTGTCTACTGGCAGTGGGGTAATCAAGAGCATTTCATACTGAAAAAAGTGGCAAATAATGTGATGTCAGCTCGTGGTGACCACGTGGATGGTGTTCCTCCAGATCCATCTTTTGGTCCTAAGTCTTCGCATCGGCATGCTCGTAATTTCCGTGACTGTATCCATCCACCTTATTACTGGTAATCCTCTTCTTCGCCCTTCGCTCTTTCCAAACACAATTGTCTTTCATGAGATGGTTCTTCTCATATCATGTCCAAAATAAACTAGTCCTCCGGACTTGGGTCACTTGGTTGGTTTGTTAAAAGATCGATCTGTATGTCCCTCTTGTGTAGGGACCATGCTTTTGGCTGGATCGTGCCTGTCCATAATGCCTCTGAAGCAGATTTCCTCTACCGTTTTACCCTTGAAAAACTCTTGAAATCATTTTCAGGTCTTCTGGGAACCCTTGCTAAAATCAATACATTGGGGGTCAGTGGAAACAATGGTCTCTTACATTGTTGGCCAGTGTGAAGAAGGCTCCTGGTGGTCAGAATGTCACCCTTACACAAAGCTAAAGTGATTATTGGTGTCATGCAACATGGATATGACATGTGGTGCCTAGAACTATGTAGGCACCATCAAATGGGAGACCACTCAAACATGGCTCAAGGAAGCCCTTGCAACCTCTGGAGGAACCCTGGTTGAGTGGCTGCCATGGCGTGTCCCTGTAGCAAGCCTTTTTTTCCCCTAAGCCCAGGTCAATAATTTCTTCTGGCTGCATTTGTTGAACGTTCTCCAATACCTAGAGTGAAAAGATACAATGTATGGGGTTATGGATATTTTTTTACTTCGACCAGTTACTTAGAGGTTTATTCCAGTGAGGTGGGCTGGAAGAGTGGATAAATATCTGGGGCGATCTTCTAGAAGGGTCCTTACATCTCAGTTTTTGCCTGGAGAGGAAATTATTGTCCTTGGCTCCTAGGTTAATGCCAGGAAGGAGGTAGTGCTGAGAGGTTCCTTGGCTCCAAGGCCCGTGCTTTGGAGAGGAAACCCGAACAAGGGTTTTTCTTCCTAGCTGCCCATCTGGGCCTACAGAATCTACACTGGTCTGTGGCAAAGGCCTAAGGAGTCCAACAGATGACCTGTGGCAAAGGCCTAAACAGTCCAATAGATGACCTGTGACAAAGGCCTAAATAGTCCAACAGATGACTTGTGGCAAAGGCCTAAAGAATCCACCAGATGACCTGTGGCAAAGGCTTAAAGAGTCCCACAGATGACCTGTAGCAAAGGCCTAAAGAGTCCTACAGATGACCTGTGGCGCAGGCCTAAAGAGTCCAACAGATGACCTGTGGCAAAGGCCTAAAGAGTCCAACAGATGACCTGTGGCAAAGGCCTAAAGAGTCCAACAGATGACCTGTGGCAAAGGCCTAAAGAGTCCAACAGATGACCTGTGGCAAAGGCCTAAAGAGTCCAACAGATGACCTGTGGCAAAGGCCTAAAGAGTCCAACAGATGACCTGTGGCAAAGGCCTAAAGAGTCCAACAGATGACCTGTGACAAAGGCCTAAGGAGTCAAACAGATGACCTGTGGCAAAGGCCTAAAGAGTCCAACAGATGACCTGTGGCAAAGGCCTAAAGAGTCCTGCAGATGACCTGTGGCGCAGGTCAAAAGATACGCAAATATAGTAGCCCATCTGGGTCTACAGAGTTTTGTAAGAAGTCTACTGGGTGGAAGGAATTTTTGACTAGGAGAGCCCATAAACATCCAGAAGCTCTTTCAGGGGTCATTCCTATTTGCTGTCCATGATATTTATAGAATCGTTTGCTAGGTCCAAAATTCAAAGCATCTAGTTACACCAGCTTTGGTGTCATAGGTATCATTTCCTAGGAGTCCCATGGCTGAAGGTGCGAAGATTTTTCAGATCTTCGGGGTAGAGACGTTATGATGTTTTTATATGTTGAAGGCCCTCCCCCCGTTCTGGGATGGTTGCTCCAGTTTGACGTAGATGGCCTTTTTCACACCTCTTTTGAACCAGTTCTCCTCTCAATCCAAAATGTGCTCCTCAGTGTCCTCAAAAGACGGTCCCTTTTCCTCAAGATGTAGGAAGACTGCTCTGTAGAAATTTGCTATGTTGGGCCATTGGTTTGTTGAGGTTATTTTTCCTCCACTGTGCATTCCCCACAACTCCAGCTGACTGTGACTAACTGCCACTTGCTAGGTAAACGAGGTTGTTATTACCGGAATTAGTTTCTAATCCAGGCCTCTCCCTAAGATTTAGGCCACGTTTGTTTCCTTTTATTCTTTGCATTGGATCTGAAATCATTTGTTGTGAAATATTTCCTTCTCTGTTTTCATTCTTTTTTTCTTCCCCAGCTCATACATATTCCAGAGACGATGGGTGAAGTTGGACACTGACTACCTCCGGTACTATGACAGCGACAAGGTACGTGGATGATAGTTTGCACTCTTTAGACATTCTGATATTCCACGGATATTTCATGGCTTTGACATGGTCAGCTGTTGTCTTGAGTTTCCTTACGTGATTCAACTGATCTACTGCCAGTAGATTCCCTGAGAGACAAAAGAAACGATCAGGGGGTTCAAATCTGACCTCCGGCCTTGCACATTTGTACAGGCCCATTTCCTGGACTGAAATGGCTTACTCTGATTTCACTGCATGGACATAGGGTCTTATGGGGCCCAACATCTCCTTACCATCAGTCCTTTAAGGTCCTTCCTGAGCTGTAGCTCAATGGGGTAAATCCCCAAAAATTAGAACTGAAATAAGGTGGTCAGCAGCAAACCAAAAGCCGTTATTTCATGGCTTTGACATTGTCAACTGTTGTCTTGAGTTTCCTTATGTGATTCAACTGATCTACTGCCAATAGAGTCCCTGAGAGACAGAAGAAACGATCGGGGGTTCAAATCTGACCTCCGCCCATGCACAGTTGTACGGGTCCATTTACTGGACTGAAATGGCTTGCTCTGATTTCACTGCACACTACGACACAGACATGGGGTCTTATGAGGCCCAACAACTCCGTACCATCAGTCCTTTTAAAGTCCTTCATGAGCTGTAGCTCAATGGGGTAAATCTCAAAAAAATTAGAACTAAAATAAGGTGGCCAGCAGCAAACCAAAAGCTGTTATTTTACATAGGCCCCGATAGAGGGCGAATTGTTGATCTCCCAGGTAGCCAATGGATGTGTTTGCCTCTTCTGCAGGACATGTACTCCAAGCGTATGATCAAGACAAGCGCCATAACCAGGGTGGCTTCCATGGGAGACCAGAAATTCGAGGTGGCAACGTCCAATAGGAACTTCATGTTCCGAGCCGAGAGTGACGGTAAGTCGGCTTCCATTGTTCCTCCACCCTCCGTGATGTTGCAGCTTTACGTTGTATCAGTTTCTTGGGTTGAAGGATTCTTCTGAGGAATCCACGGAAGGGGCTGAGTGTCAAAATAAGGCCTCATGATGGTATTTCAAGGGGCGCATTTTTTGAGAAAAGAAACATGGAGGGCGATCGCTCATTTTGAGGATGCTGGTTGCCTGGCTATTATGCTAGTCTCCTTGCTTTGATATTTTGCGTCACTGGGAACCCATAGGCCGATGAGGACTTCCGACCGTTTTGTTTTACTGACTGTTCCAGACCAACGTCACGTTGACCATCATTTTTCTTTTCTATTTGTTCCAGCGGAAAGGAACGACTGGGTGAAAGCCTTCCAGCAGATCCTGGATGAGCGAAAGACGAAGGTGCTCAGTGCCTCCACCTCGACCCAAGAGAACCCAGACAAATTCGGCCCCCTGGAGATGAAAGGGTGTAAGCCCAAGCTGTTTGTGGTGGTGGCGGCGGACAAGGTCTATCTGTACAAAAATGGAGAGGTCAGTACAGGGCGTTGGGTGCCGTCACGTGCACGTTCTTACATGTTTGTTTTCATTTTGGTAAAATTCATGAAATGTACAAACACTATAATAATTTGATGATCAATGAGTTTTCCCCATCCAGAGCAGTGACTCCTCCCCATCCAGAGCAATAACTCCTCCCCGTCCAGAGCAATAATTCCTCCCCATCCAGAGCAGTATCTCCTCCCCAGCCATAAAGTTAGCTCCTCCCTTTCCAGAACAGAAACACCTCCTTGCCCAGAGCAGTGGCATCTCCCTGTTCAGAGCAGTAACTCCTCTCCGTCCAGAGCATTAACTCCTCCCCATCCAGAGCATGAATTCCTACCTGTCCAGAGTAGTAATTCCTCCCTGTCCATAGCAGTGACTCCTCCCTCTCCAGAGTAGTAACTCCACATCCATAGCAGTGACTCCTCCCTGTTGTGTGCAGTGTCTCTTCCCCATCCAGAAAATTAGCTCCTCCCTGTACAGAGAAGAAAATCCTCTGTCGACAGTATAATATTTTGGGGTTCTAAGACATTTTCTAGCAAAAACTACTCCTGTGTAGAAGAATGAATCCATGCAGAGAAGACAAGGTTTGTGCCCCATAGACAGTCTATAGACCACATCCATTGGGCTACCCAACTCTGTTCTTTAGCACAAAAAGGCAATTGGAAACCATCATCCTTCAAACGTTTTTGACTCTTTGTTGTGACCCAGCCTCTTCCAAAACCTTCAACATTGGGGCTTCTGAGATCCATTCTCATTTTGGATTCAAGCCCTTTATGACAAACCAACAGCATGCCTAAAATACAGCGGCTTTATTAGCGGCTGCTCTGGCCTTAGCACACACTTCCATACATGGTGGGGTTGCCCTGTAGCCCAATCTTTCTGGACCGAAGTCTTCCAAATCCTCTCTACCATGTTTTCCTGGCCCCTGACCTGGCCACAGCCCTCCTACACAAACAACCACCAGACCAGTCCCGCCGTCACTTCAAACTTCTCTTGCAGGTTACGACTGCATCAAAACAAACCGTAGCCAAGGCCTGGAAATCAACTTATCTTATTGTCCTAGAAATGAAAAACAGAATTACCAGAGACATGATCCACGCCAAGGTCAAAGCAGTCCTTCTAGGCAGGGTGTGTAAATATGAATTACTGTGGAAGTCCTGGGTAGAGCACTACCTCCTGGCCGATTTTGACGAATCCTCCCTGCTTCTGCCATGCTAGTGCCTGTACAAGCCTTTGGGCTCATCTCGGCACCTAGGTTGTTTCTCCACCCCCTCAGGATCCCCCCTACCATACTCCCTATGACCCCCGTTTCCTCTCCTCACTATGGCCTGATATGGCTCTTCTATACTCTTTCTCTTCTCTCCCTCCCTCCCTCTTTTCTTGTTCGGCCTACGTGCTCTGTTGGTTACTGGTAGGCCACCCCTACGGGTGACTCCCGAGGTGGGGGATGGAGTGGTAGGAAGAGTGGAGGAGATTGGCAATTAGCTGAGGGCGGGGTAGGCTTCCTTGAAGAGATGGGTTTTCAGGGTGCGCCTAAAGGAGAGGAGAGTAGGTGATAGTCTGATGTATTGGGGTAGGGAGTTCCAGAGGATGGGGAAAGCTCTGGAGAAGTCCTGAAGACGGGCATGGGGGGAGTTGACCAGGGAACTAGAGAGTAGGAGGTCTTGTGAGGAGCGGAGAGTACGTTTTGGGTAGTATTTGGAGACAAGGTCGGTGATGTAGTTCGGGGCAGTATTATGGACAGCTGTGTACGTCAGTGTTAGCATTTTGAATTTGATCGGTTGGGCAATCGGAAGCCAGTGGAGGGATTGGCAGAGGGGGGAGGCGGATACGGAGCGGTTAGTAAGGTGGATGAGTCTGGCCGCAGTATTCAGGATAGACTGAAGCTGGGATAGCCTGCGGTGAGGTAGGCCGGTGAGGAGGGAGTTACAGTAGTCAAGTCGTGATATAATAAGGGAGTGAATGAGTTGCTTAGTGGTTTCCGGGGTTAGGAACGGATGTATTTTGGAGATGTTGCGGAGGTGAAGTCTACATGAGTTTGTCAGTGATTGGACTTGGGGCTGGAAGGACAGATTGGACAGATTGGAGTCTAGGATGACACCTAGTACTCTGGCTTGCGGGATGGGATTATATATTTCTACACATCAAGCCCGGAATTGCGCCGGCAATTACTAGCCTCCTAGCCAGGGAGGACGCCCTGAGAAATCATGGTTTAATGTCTTGATGCACTTCTTATATCATTTAGTACTTCAACATTGTTCTATGGCACCTTATCTCTGTAGGGACTGCGTCCCCATAGCTTAGAAATGCTTACCAGGCACCCACTAAGCCATTGTTGATGTTATTTCCTGCAAAGTTTGTCTACCATTGTTACTTCACAATCAAAATATTTGAACGAGAAAATACAGTGGCTTTGAATTGGGGTAATACTGCAACAAAAGAGGAGCAAGGCAGGGGTGTCCGTCACCACCCATTTAGACTGTTCCAACATCCAGATATCCAAGGTAGAGAAATAGCTGGGGTTAACCAAATATCAATGCTATTTGCCAGTAGCTTACTGTTCTGAGTCACATATGCCTTTACCCAACCTCTCCCAGTTTCTGCAACAATTGGGTAGGCTATTAGGTCTACAGGTAAATAAATCAAAGTCTGGTTCCTTGAAAATTTTGTCAAACCCTAGCTAAAGCCCAATTTTACCTTCCAATTGGTCGCCAACCTCCCATACCCTGGTATATACTCCTCACCTCTGCATACGACTCTCTTTAACAGGCCAACTTTACCTTCCAATTGGTCACCAACCTTCCATACCCTGGTATACGCCTCTCCCCTATATACTACGCTCTTTAACAGGCCAACTTTACCTTCCAATTGGTCACCAACCTCCCATGCTCTGGTATACACCTCACCCCTACATACGACTCTATAACAGGCGAACTTTACCTTCCAATTGGCCACCAACCACCCATGCACTGGTATACGCCTCACCCCTACATACGACTCTCTTTAACAGGCCAACTTTACCTTCCAATTGGTCACCAACCTCCCATGCTCTGGTATACACCTCACCCCTACATATGACTCTCTTTAGCAGGCCAACTTTACCTTCCAATTGGTCACCAACCTTCCATACCCTGGTATACGCCTTACCCCTACATACGACTCTCTTTAACAGGCCAACTTTACCTTCCGATTGGTCACCAAACTCTTATACCCTGGTACACCTCACCTCTACATGCCACTCCCCTTATCAGGCCTACCCACCTCCATCACATCACATCACATCACAAAGTGTATCTGGAGCTTGGTTAGAGCCGTATTAACAAACAAACTGTTAGGTGCACACCCCAAGGAGACCTGGAGGTTCCACACCTTGATACATACTCCTTTGTGGACTCTAATGGATATTCCGGTCTGTCACCCAACGCCTTTAGTCTCTTCACTATAGATGCCTCCCTCTGGTCCAAAAACCTGAATCCTATACATTCATTCCGCATTTGGGACTCAGTGAGATACTTCGGTACTCTCAAGTCCCCTTATCCTCCATTTTGCAGGAATTGTTGGCTGCCCACTTTTTCCACCCAGGATGGAGGAGCTGTCCCCATTTTATTGGTGGCTACACAAAGGATACAGTATTGTCCATTTCCTGCTCAACTTCAGTTGTATTATTACTTTCTTCTGACAACAAGATGCGCACCCCAAGGAGACCTGGGGGTTCAACACCGTGATACATACTCCTTTGTGGACTCTGATGCATATTCTGGTCTGTCACCCAATGCCTTTAGTCTCTTCACTATGGATGCCTCCCTCTGGTCCAAGAACCTGAATCCTATACTAAACATTCATTCCACATTTTGGACTCGCTGAGATACTTCGGTAAATCTCAAGTTCTCTCATCCTCCATTTTGTAGGAATTGTTGGCTGCCCACTTTTTCCACCCAGGAAGGAGAAGCCCTCCCCATTCTCTTGGTGGCTACACAAAGGATACAGTATTGTCCATTTCCTGCTCAACCTCAATTGTATTATTACTTTCTAATGACAGCAGGAGAAAAAAACTGAACAAAGAACTTTCTGCAATATCCCACGTCTGCAAATTTGACATAATGCTGAATCGTGAACACATGGGAAGACCTCTCTTCTAACCGTTACAGGCTTTGAATGTTGTTGCCAGGATCACCCATTTATCCCAGGGATAGTTTTTTTTTTCCTCGATGTATCACTCCTCCCTCATATTTCCATGACAGAATTGTCCTAAAGTCGAGCCTGGGAGAGGAAAGTTGGATCTTTTTGTCCAAAATACAAAATGAAGAATGGTGGCCTATTGCTGTAAAAAGCTCAATCAATAAAACCTCTTTAGAACACTCATATAAAGTATTGCTTCAATGATATGTAACCCCCTGCTAGAAGATCTAAATATACATACCATTCTATTCCCATTGTACTTTAGAGGGGGCCAACCATATTCCTTACGTATATGGTGGACTTGCCCAAGAGTCCAATGCCTATGGCTAAGATTATATCACTACATCAGCTCCATCTTGCACCTCAATATTCTGAAAAACCCCCTGGGAATCGCTCTACTTCCAAAAACTCCAACTAAAGTCCCTAAAAAAACACAAAATATATATTTAAAGTGACCAAACTATTGCCAGAGCTTGGGAGTCTCCTACTGTTACAGTGCTTGCAGGATCCATGATGGGTCTTCTGGGATTCCTCACAGGATTCCAACTTGGACCTTCACTTCCTCTAGGCCAAAAACGATCCTGGGCATGTCTTCTGACCAGAAGGGTCGTTTGTGCTTCAGCCTTCAAAGGGTCTTATTGCCAGATATCAGTGAGCTAAAGGCACTATAATACTTACCTGTCAGCTTGTTGCATGCACATATTGACCTGACTACTCTCTTTTGCTTGTTGTCTGCCTCAACCCATACCTGGACCTGACTATTCTCTCGCTTCTGCCATCCTTGACCCCTTCTTGGACCTGAATGCTCTCTC